TTGTAACACTCTATTAGTGATAAATAATGTCTCCTTATGGAAAGTTTAGGCCATCCCAGTAGCTTGCAACTATCATCATATGCATGGCATTTCGCCTCTCTTTTGGCGAAGGGCGGTGATGTTGTTTATGTACACTAAGAAAAGGATTGGGCCCAAAATCGTTCCTTGAGGCGTCCCAGAAGATACTGGTGACCATTCAGAGAAAGTACCCCTGATTCGAACTCTTTGAGTGCGACCCGTAAGAAAATGTCTAAACCAGTCCAGAAGACGACCATCAATGCCATTCGTATACAATTTCAGCAGCAGTCTCTCATGGGGAACACTATCAAAAGCTTTTGCTAGGTCCAGGAACAGGATATCAATTGGAATACGAGAATCCCTTGACCGAGCCCAATTATGTATCGTGCTTAGAAGCTGTGTGACAGTAGATCTGCCTTCTAGGTGATTTTTATTGAATAAATTAATGTCGTACCAGAACTGCTGAATTCTATTACGAACGATTTTTTCACTAATTTTGCAGACGATACTGGTGAGGGATATCGGGCGATCATTCTCTTTACAGTGCTTTGAGCCCTTTTTAAAGATAGGCGATATGATTGCTATTTTCCATTCCAGTGGCAAAGTACCAGTAGAAAAAGGACATATTAAGTATTTACGTGATTGAAGGTGCCAGCTCCGAAGCACAAGTCTTTAGAATACGTGGTGGAATACCGTCAGGCCCGGGGGATTTATTCTCATTGAGACCTTTGAGAAGTTTTAGCACCTCTAGAGTGGAACAGTGAATGTCTTCGAGCTTTAAATCGGTGGTACAATCAAGCGTTGGAAAATTATCATATTCTTCTACTGTAAACACAGAAGAAAAATATCTATTCATGCTTCTGGCAATACTGTAATCGCTCGTCAAAACAGAGTCTCCGACTTTTAATGTAACAAGATTGTTAGTTCCTCTGCGTTTGGGTTTAATATAGCTCCAGAAAGGCTTGGGGTTTTCGTTTTCCATAAGCTCTTGTGATAGATTGTTTACGTACTCCCAGCGAGCAGTACTAGACTCCCGTTTGATTCTGTTGTTTAATTGGCGACATTTCAGCCATACGCCATCATCTTGTGATTTTTTGGCTTTCTTATAAAGCGCCTTCTCTCTTTTACATAAGCGTAATAGATCTTTAGTTATCCAAGGGGCGTTAGGTCTTCTTTTTACTTTTATTTTCGGGATAAATTTGTCAATATAATAATAATGTTTAATATTTATAAAGCGCAAATTAACATATGAATATGATCAAATGCGCTTGAAAATCAAAAACTAACAATTTACAACGATCGAATATAGGCTATTTAAAAATCTGACAAGAATATCATATTTGTCGACTGTCTTGGTTCTTAGTCAGATATTTCGAGACATTTTAATATGTTATACATAAACATATACGTTTCGCTTAGATATACTATATTTTATGCACACTTTGTCCATTTTTTTAGAGATTATTAGCTTTATTATTAGTAAATAGTTTATCAATTTAGTTTTATTTACCTTTGTATACAGTTCGTTAATTCA